GATTTCAGCCTCTGCTGAACCCACGACCCTGGACAATTCAATACATAAGGAAACTAAACTTAGTTACATGTTCACTTACCCTCCATTTTCTACGTGGTGCACATACCCCATTGGCATTCTTATCAATAAGGTATCAAATAAGACACGATTAATCATAGATCTCTCAGTTCCTTATTCTTCACACACTCTAGGCATCAATTCACTTATACTGGCTGACAAATTCTCCCTACACTATGCCGCACTGGATACCACCAAACAAGCAATTTTGTATGCATGCAAACACGCTTGGGACAGAAAATACAATATCTCGAATGCCTCGAATTACTACCAATCCACCCGTCCCTATGGCACATTCATAGCATCAAGTGGAGGGACAATTACTACTTCGCCACTAGGCTTACATTCAGATCCAGAAACAGCCCAAAATTAATTTACATTTTCGTGGAACACTCTGATGGTTGCTCCTAAATATCGTCAGGTGTCCCATGGTGACTCGCTACCTGGATGACTTTCTGTTTGGTGGAAATAGGTACTCCCATGCCACGCCTCCACAGCACCCCGGCCCTCTTTTCCACTCCGGGGATCCATCTATTTCTCGACAAGACCACAAGCTCCACGACTAAACTGGTGTTGAAGGGTACTACGCTAGTTATGTTGTCGTTGCGGCATCAGGGAAGATTTGGACTGATGGTGGCACCGTCATCCATGAGCCCCCGGCCAGATGTGACCTGTTCATGTGGTACCAAATCCTTCTATTTTGGAACAGTAACAATCACCTGTAATATGGACAGTCACTGCCACCCATACCAGGTTGCCTTTTTGGTGACCACTGGTACAGGGATCTTTGGCCTATTGAAACTGGCACCTTGCCTGTCTTCAAAGAACCTCTGCCCTTTTAGAAATATAACCCATTGTAGCGGCTGCCTGCACTGTGGGTTATCTTTGGGCCGGGAAGATAGTAAAATGCTTTACCAACAACTTGGCAGCATGCAAGCTCATATAAAGGGTGCTCCTCCTCTTTGACCATCATGCGTTTGGTCCAAAAAATTACCTGGTTTGCTGCCACATTTCAGTTTTAGTTAGTAGGTGTACGTATCTCGGATATTACCAACACCGCAGCTGACACTCTGTCCTGTTCTCGCTTAGAGGAATTTTTCAGGTTCTATCCCTCTACCAACAGGCGCCCAATCCAGAATACCAGTATTTCTGAAGGTTGTCATGATCTGACCAACTTTATGGCTCATGCTTGGTTATTGTCCCGAGCCGCTTTATCTTCAAGCACCATGACAGCTTACGATAGGGCATTGGCAGTATTCCACAGGTTTGCCGTAACCATGGTGGCTTTTGCCATCTTCATCTTAAACTAGTACATATACCATCAAGCTTTACCTTACAAGGATTCAGCATCACATGCTCACCACCTATCCCAATCACACCCCCCTATCTCAAATCTTACCTCATCAAAGCATACTAAAATCTACTATCTATAGACACACCCTACCTCAAAACTACTACCTACTACCTATAGACATGCCCTACCTCAAAACTACTACCTACTACCTATAGACATGCCCTACCCCAAATCTACTACCTATAGACAGGCCTATATTTAGAGGCCTCTCTGACTTATTGGATACTAACACATTTGAGAGTCACACCAACAACGTGATTAAAATAGCTTTCTACTGATTCTTAAGGTTCAGAAAGTTCATCAGACAGAGGTTAATCTAAGTCTCAAGACGTCTGATATTATTTAGCAACCACTATGCACTCTACTCACCTTCCAAACAACTAAAACAAACCAAACCAACTATCCATCCAT